TAAAATAGGATTTTTAAAATAATACAATACCCATAATATATTTGCAGAACTAAATTCCCAAGAAAGACAGGCAGCACAAGTTCGGCCCCATCAGGAAAAACAAAAGGACAAGGGACACAAACCTATTTGGTCAAAGAAAAAAGTTAAAAAAAAACTTTAATGCAACAAGGACAGTTGCTGTAGTTGTAAGAAATTTGGATTTTGTATAAAGTGTATATTACAAATATTGTATAGTTATGTATTTTAAAAATCAAAACACCCTATGCAATAGTAGTTTCTGGAAGTATTGATGTTCCCTCTGATGATGGTCTATAGGAACCGAAACATGTTAGGGTGCTAAGAAGTGAAGTAATAAAAGCTTCAACAGTCACACAGGATGGAATTGTTTTATCATTTGTAATATTGTTGGTGTGACAGACCAGAATGAAACAAATCAAGTTTTTATTGAGTTTAACAATGAAGCTAAATCATATTCTTACCTGTCAATCAAGAAACCACCAACAAAGCACAGGACAACATTTGGCCAAGAATACCATGAATATAAGTATACAAACTGCGATGTTGTCAAGCCCATGTCACTTATAAAATTATCCTGCAGAGCTCCTGGGTTATCATAACAGAAATATGACCCTAGAATACAAAAAAAAAACACATTAAAACAGAAATGGGTCTAATATGAAACACAAACAAACAAAACAAACAAAAACAAACTCCACTGTTTTAGTCCGCAAGCAAGCTATACCAACCGAGCGACCGCTGCTTGTCGGTGAAGTTAGTGCCAACTTTAGCGGATAGAGGGTGTCATGTGGTCAGCGCAACAAATCCCCACAGCCATTAATTTCGGTTTTGTAGACCAGAACCGCTGTTTCCTTGAAATAGCTCCTCAATTATCCTGATGAGGCTGAGTGGACCCCGTTCCAGACCCACTACTACTCAGAAAATCTGGTAGCGCCAGGAATCAAACCCAGACCTCTGGATCTGTAGCCAGAACTCTGACCACTAGACCACTGGGATGGTCTAGGGTTTCTTAAATATCTATCACATACATGACAGTACTTTCATTCTAAACAAACAGCATCAATTCTGTTACTGGCCAAACAGGTGAAGAAAAACAAAATTTCCTTTACATCACTTTGTTATTCTCTTGGACAATTAGTAAACTGAGGATTACTTGGAAGCAACCAGCTAGCTAATAAAGTTCATGGAATAGGATCTCTCCTGAGAAGCCTACAGCTGGTTGGCTAGTCAAGAACTCCTAGCATTTTATGGAACCCAAAGGCCTGTTACAGTGTTCATAAGAGCCTGCCACTCCACATTCTGAATCAGATAAAACAGTCCACACCATCAATCCTATGTAGGGAAGTAAAAAATTATCCGAACTCTCGCTTTTCCAATTTATATACACAAAAGCAGGGACTGAACAAGTATGTCATTCTTCTACATAGTCTCCTTCCTATTCGAATGCACTTGGTTCAGCAGTCCACAAGCTTGCGTATTCCCTCCAAGAAGGTTTTCGGTTGGTATCTTTGAGCGGTCCAAGGAGATGATAGTTGGAAGGGACAAGATCTGGGCTGTAGGCAGGGTGTTCCAGCACCTCGAAACCCAAATGGTTAATGGTTTCAACACTCTGGCTGGTCATGTGTGGGAGTGCATTGTCATGCAACAACAACACTTTTCAACAATAGGCCTCAGCGTTTGGTGCGAACTGCCGGCTTCAGATTGTTGGCCAGCAAATCACTGTATCTTGCACTGTTGATCATACACCCTTTTTCCAGGTAGTCTTCCAGTATAGGCCCTTTTGAGCCCGAAAAACGGTCAGCATCACCTTTCCCACGGAAGATTGAGTCTTGAATTTCTTCTTCATTGGCATTCCCGGGTGTTTCAACGCCATACTCTGGCTTTTGGATTCTGGCTCACAGTGATGGACCCACATTTCATCTCCTATGACTATTCTGCTCATAAATTCTTTGCCTTCATTACTGTAACAGTCGAGTAAGTGTTGGCAGATCTCAACACGTTTGCACTTGTGCTCTGCAGTAAGCTCTCTTGGCACCCATCTCGCACAGACTTTATGGAAGCTGAGCTCATCGTGGATGATAAGATGGGCAGAACCATGACTAATCTGTGGAGAACACGCTACCTCACTGATGGTAACTCGCCGGTTCACCAGTATCACCTCTCGAGCTTGCTGAATCTTCTCGTCAGTGGTGGAGGTTGATGGGCGTCCTGCTCCCTCTTCATGTGTCACACTTGTCTGGCCAATTTTAAACTTCTCAATCCACTCATATACACTTCTACGCAGTAGAGCACTGTCCCTGTATTGTGCTGAAAGCCTCCGATGAATGTCGGCCCCTGACACACCTTCCAATCAGAGAAATCGGATCAGTTCTTTGTTCCTCCTTGGTGCACACTGCTAGTGGGGCGGCCATGTTTACACTGTCACAGCATCAAGGAAAATGACGCGATCAAGGTCAAACTTCGATCACGTGACCACATTAGTACCAACGCTAAGCATGCATACACAAAAGGCAGTGTGACAAAGCTAAAGATGTGTTATGGTGAAAGTGAGGATAATTTCTGACTTTCCCTCATATTTCTTTGAGATCTATTTTATTAATATCATTCCATCTATATACTTATGCCTTACAAGTGATTCTTTAGTTTAGGTTTTTCTACCAAGACTTTGTATACATCTCTTCACCTCATGTGCGCTACATGCTCTACCCATGTGATCCCCATTTGTTCCATAATCCTAGTAATAGTTGGCAGCTGATCAAATTCACAAAACAATAAATGTGGGTAAATAAGTGTTAATATTATATTTTGTCCCTGAGGAACTGCAATGTTGTGCTCATTAACCAGATACTAGATAAACTGTTGTCTTCTAGGTAAATTAACTTACATGTGTAAACAGTTAAGGACATGTGTGAAAAACAAAAAGAATAAATTCTCTGCACAGAAAGTGGTTCACTGCAAAGGCTATGGCCTTATTATCAGTCCAGCAGCCTAGTAAATACTGCCTGCTACAAAGGTGGTCATGCTATAAGGCAATGAACTCCAGCACAGATATGGAATGATGATGCCCTATGCCAATATTCAAATGTGTTTGTAAAAACAGTTTACAATATCTGTGCTAGATCTGACGTTCTCACAGTTGTGATTGCGAAGAGTTCCATCTTCTGGGATACTATGCTGCATAGTCCGGTGTCAACTGATGTTCTGGAGGAACATATCACCTCCATTTTCAGGGTTAAGGTGCAAGCCAAGCAAGAAAATATCATGAAGCAGGCAGAAAGTAAAGTTTACAGTTATCTCTTGGAAGAGGTAAGGGTAAATGATAGTTATTAAGCACCACGCCATAAAAACATATAAGGAATGGAGGTATAGCTCCACACACTCTTAACTTAGTATATGGAGTTGAGTGGTTAGCTTCTCACCTCAGTGCTTTAATCCGGGGGAAAAGTCATCAGTGCTTGTTCAGCTCTTGCCACTGTCAGAAAGCAAAGCCTCATTTATCAGCTGTCCAGCAGATAACCAGTCTCCATACTGAACAGTTGAACAGTATGGTCTTCTGGGTTGTAATGTTGAGGAGTTCAAAGACAGCTCTCTCAAAACTAAATGGCATTACAAACTAGAACACTGTATTCTTGAGAAGGTCAAATCCAACACAGTCTCGCTGTTGACTAAACTACCTCACTCTCATTTCCTATTTCCTATTCGTTATTCACTAATCATCCTTTCATTCAAGATTACAGTCTGAGTTATTTTCATCACCATTAAACAAACAATAAATTAATACCCATAAACATGACACACATTACATATATTCATATATGTGGAATGTGACAGCCACTGCCATATAAAAGAAGTCAACGAATTAGGGTCCAAATGTTATGTACAAGATATTAACATATTTAATAATATTCCCTCCGCTCAATGCATTCTGTGTGTGTGCATTTATATAATGCACCAAAAACATACTAACAACATTTGAACTCGGCCACCGTTTAAAATTAAAGTTTATTAACACGTTTTTAAAAGTGCCTTTTGCCCCTTATACAAAGTATGTTGTTGATTCTTCTCCTCTTGCGTATCAAAAATCTGAACCACTGCCAGCACTTCCTCGTTTTAGTATATGCATGTGATATCAAGTAACCTATTTGACTTCGGACGACAGATAAATAAACGACACTGGAAATGACTTCTAGTCCTATACGTTACTTACCAAATCCAACTAGACACATAAGGAAAAGGGCCATAAACCGATGCAGGGAATGACTTGGGTTGCAGCAAGGCTTGGCAGCACATCCCGTCAGTTCCAAGTCCTCTTCGGGTTCAGGAAGTATTTTTTCCGCTTCGTTACAAAATTCTCCGTCCATTGTGTCACGCCAGCAAACCAAACCAAACACAACTGGAGTAGTCCACAGCTCTTCGCCCTTTCTTTCTCTTATTATCTACAAACTTGCGATCACTTGAAACGGCATAGACACACGCCCAGGCAGACCAGGCAGAACACGTAAAAACGCCACAGCAGCCAACTCTGCAGAAGAAACTCCTCTAAATCATGACATAATTCTCCAGAAATTCGCCCGATCCTTCAGACCATTAATAATGTGACAAGACGCCTGTGGGCCTGTATAGCGATGTCGGAGTAGACGTCCATTACTAGGCAACAGCACGGTAAATATGTTCCTGTAGCGACGGATACTTACGCAACAATAGAGCTACTTACACGTATTATTGATTGTTGTGTTGTGACGGTTTTCAGTAAGAAATAACAGAGGAATGGTTGCGTGCATATCCACTGCTGCGGGAACGTGCTTACCTAGCCGTTTTCAAGCTCTGGCTTAATTGTGCTGGCGAAGGCCAGAATCAATCTATCAGGCCAAATAAGTAGTAAAACATGGTCTTGCATCCCGCCGGGCAGGAAACCAAGAATGACTGTGCTGGCAAAGACCAGCACCAAATTACAAGACAAAGACAGACAGAAGTTACAGAAAGACGACACCCCTCCCCCCTCACGTCGAGAAGGAGGCCTCGTATTAAAACACATAATTACCTAGGAAAGAACAAAAATATGGCCATGGAATCCGGCGGGCCCCGAAACCAAGAACGACTGCGCTGATGAAGACCAGCAGAATATTGGTGCTCTGTTCTGCTCAAGTTACTCAGTTTGAGTTGGTATTATGCAGTTGCAGTCGGTAGTTATTCGAGGGCATTGAACTAGAGGAATCTCTGTAGTCAGAAGTCGCCAGGAAAGACACAACAGACTGAAAATCCTAGGTGAATTCTGTAGTTATTTGTAATGTGTCTGTAGATTTGTGAAAGTGTTATAAATATTCACAATTGTGCCTAATAACCATTCAATAAATCCAATTATCAGTCGAAATCCTCCTGTGTCTGCTCACTAGCATATGACAACAGTTGTATGTACATAATACTAGCAACAAAAGAATGTATCTCCTAATTTATAGCAGTACGATTTACTACAAAATAACAATGATAACATTAATAACAACAGTATTGATTAGAATAAATATTTGATAGCTTGGAAAGCATAACGTATGTATCTCCTTGTCTCTTTTCTCTCTTTCTTTAAGAAATCAGCCTCATTCTCCTCTCCTTCAGTTATGAAATTTTCATCCTGGTCTGTAGAATAAGACGCTGCATGATTAATTTCTTTTAACTACATCCTTTGGTAAAATATAACTGTGCTAACACACGGTTTCTCTTCTGAACACAATTTTACGCACAGAACATACGAAATGTTTGTGTTTTCATCCCCTTCCTCAACTTATTTATAATCAAATTTACACCACTGAAACACTTTTACCATTGGCATGTGAATGAGTTAATGTCAAAAATGATATTGCAAATTCTGCTAGTTCGCGAAAAGATTTTCCACCCGTTGAAACTCGACAGGTATGGACCTATGCTCAACATTTCGGTAAATCTGTAGTTTCCACCTACTGAATGTGCTTAAGATTCCTTCGTTGCAATTATATAACAACGAGAAGTTCAGCGTCTGATACAAATACATTTTCCACCTCAAGAGTCTTATCTTTAATATGCTTCATGGATTTACTGGGAGAAAAAAATTGACCTATTTTCAAGAATCTTAATTTTTTCTGGATAACATTGAGTGACAAGCATGATGTTGAATTGGACGCATCTATGTCCTATATTTTTATCTACTAAGCTAGAAATATCAGTGCTTGACAATTCTACATCAAATTAGTATCCAAAGTACAGTTTCGGAGCTGAAAGCATTATTAAACTTTTGTTTGTATAATGTCGGGTGACAATTTTTGTGTAGAGAGAACATTCACGAGTTTTGTCGGATTATTATTCTCACTTTCGAAATTATTATTTACGTTTTGCACTTCTCGCAGAATGAACTTGAGAAATACCAAAAATAAATAATTTTGTAAGATTTGAGGCTTTCACGGCGGTGACTATGAAGAAAGCAGTCTTCTGGGATTTGGCACCGTGTATATGTGGTGTTAACCGACGTTTCGGAGGAACGTATCGCCCCCATCTTCAGGGTGAAGAAAAAGTATAAGTAAATCTACCGTGTCTCACGGTGTTGTCGCTTGCAGATTTACTTATACTTTTTCTTCACCCTGAAGATGGGGGCGATACGTTCCTCCGAAACGTCGGTTAACACCACATATACACGGTGCCAAATCCCAGAAGACTGCTTTCTTCATAAATAATTTTGTTTACTTTCGAACATTTTATGTGGAATTTAGGCCGTGTGTTTGCGTTTTTATAATGCGATATCTCGAAGTGGGTCCTCGTGTTAACCTGTTTTTGGACAATGTGGGAGACTACCCCTTCAATTGGCAACCAACAAGTTTGGCTCGTTTGCACTAGCCTCAGAGGGACATTGCCTTCATTATACAGCGCTGTAAATTTGGCTTCTATTTACTAGTCGCAGTGCTGGTTTTCCCAGGAAGAAATTCAGAATTTCTTTGAAGATACTCGGCAGCTGTACGAGATACTGCGAAGTGAAGAGTGAGCAACATACCTTACCACTTTCAAGTGTGGTAGCTTGGCTTTAAGTTCTGAACAAACCACATGACTGAAGAGTTTTCACTTCCAATAGCTACACTTTTTGGAAGTATAGTCCTTTTCTTTGATTGCAGCTCTTCAATTTCTTCGCAAATACTATCGGGCATACAGCTTGCGAGATCCACAAAATCCAAATTCGTAACTGAAACGCACTTTTTACTCTATGGTTAATACCGAGTAACAATGACAGGCAATTTTGTAACAGAAATGCCATTACTCTTATCTGCACTCCATATTGTCCAAATCTTCTAGAAGTTGTCTTTCAAGGCATGGTTCCAAAACGGTACGTACAATTGCAGTGCAATATTCCGTTTCCTCAATTTTCGCTGCTCCATTCAATAACGTGTGTTCAACTCAGGCTGATAACAATTCTTGTAAACTGCGGTTGCGTTGCAATTGCCAGTTTCCTTGGTGTGCCCTGACCCTTACTGTCAGAGAAACAAGGCCTACATACATCTGAAAGGTAGTTGATAGCGTTTAACGAACAACGTACAGCAATGAAAAGTCCTATCCCCCACCTATCTTGTCCCTTTAATTACTGCTTTAGACGTCATTTCTTCTAGAAGCCCAGAACTGAATGGTTATTCTGCTCTTTGTTTTTATTTGTAGTCCTGTGTTTTTCTAGAGCACTCATTTTGGCACTAGTTACACTTTGCAATATGTGAGAGAAGCTTTAGTTGCGTTTCCTTCGACTTTCAAAAGCCATTTCCTATAACGCTCATTTCTCGGCCACTCATTACGAAAAAATTATGTATCCTAAGTTTTTCTCATTTAGTACGAGTCCCCGCGAACTAATGTCACTTGTAATAAAGCCTGCTGTATATATCATGACTAGGCATTTTCTGAATGAAAACGTTACTGCATACAACAAAAACGTTGTTAACGTGGTATATGGCAGACCACCGAAACACATACCAATATAGTACTCGTAGAATAATGTTGGCAGCAAAAAACCTTACTATATAGCTGTCGCAACAACAAACTCATGGACAACAGGAAGTGTTTCTGAGCCCAAAATATTTTTGATGGTAGCAGATATATAAATAAAATATTTCGGAATCCATTCAGATCACATTTAATCAAAATGATTTATGAAACTTATTCTTGTTGTTCACATGCTCAGTCGCGAACGTCGCGAAGAAAGGAGTTGTATAGCTAAACATGGCTGACCCTTAGAGTGTTGAGTGCAAGTACGCTGTAAGAAATATGGAAAATTTTAAGGAAAATGTTAATTCACCATGCTTGTGCTGTCTAAAATTAAAAGACGAATTGCAGAGGGTTGTTAGTGAATTGAAATCGGTGGTGGAAATAGTGAAAATTTTAGAAGAAGATCAAGTACATTTATCCCTTAATGTAGACAATATTAATTATACACTTGTTAAACAAATAAATTCAGTGACTAATGCAAGTAGTGATGCATCTCCTTCATCAAACTGGAAAATTGTTTCTCAGTATAAAAGGCATTAAAAAATTGACACCGTTTCACATCAACAATTTAAGTTTCCAACGGTGGTAAATTGTGCAATTTTAGAGTACCTAAAAGGAGAAAACTTAGCACCTTATTATCATAATATCAATCGAAAACCAAAGGTTAAGCAATTACAGACACTGGCTCGATCTGCAACAAATAAAATTTTAATAATTGATGATAGCCATGCAAGAGGTTTTGCTGCAAATTTGTTACGCGAGTACGGCGAATCTTTTGAGGATATGGAAAATGTGATGCCTGGTGCAGGACTCCTGAACATAACTCAAGCCGCCAACATGGATATAAGAGGATTGAATTGTGAGGATTGTGTCATCTGTGATTTATCAAACGATATTAATAAAAGTGAACCCTCCAAAGGTTTAAAACTCATCACTAATTTTGCGTTATAGCACCAATATACTAATACTCTACTTATTCCAGCTCTGCATACACACGATCTGGAAAAGTCTTCTTGTATTAACAATGAAATTCAGACTCTTAACAGAAAATTAGGAAAATTGATTAATACTATGTCACACATAAAATTGCTTGACCTCCGTTTGGATAAAGAAAATTATACCCGTCATGGGATGCACTTGAATTCTAAAGGGAAAGAAAAAGTGGCAAGAATTATTGGACAGTATATAAATGAACAGCTGAACAGACAGGATAATAATATCATTACACTACCATGGACTAAGGACAATAAGTATCCCATTTCTTTGATGGAAAGTGAGGTCCCTGCTGCTGTATGGTTAACAGAAGTAATGTTAAGTAATGTGAGAGTATCCGAAACATCTAAAAAAAACCACCTGTAACGATATATAATGATGTTTTATGGTCAACCAATTAAATGATGCAAATGTTAGACATAAAAGAACTAGGACCAGAAGTGTCATAATTAATAATTTTAAAAATAATAATAGAGAAGATAAAATCAAATCCTATAAATCTGATTCTGTGCTTGATCTAAATCAGTCAAGTAATTCTGCTTGTCATTTAATAGATAAGGTAATTAAAGGGGTTATTAAGGTAAATCTATTTTCATCCCCTTTTGAGTGTAAATTAAATTCTCAGCAAGTCTTGTATGATAAATCCACATGTTACAAATAATCTAACAAAATAATACAGTCTGGTTCATTTCCTGAGAGACTAAAATACTCAGTAATAAAGTCTCTCTTGAAAGAAGAATCATCTTAAAAAATATGTTATTCTAAATCCTAATCAATATGGTTTAAAAAAAAACTGGAACACATTTGTTCTGATATGTGACTCATTCTATATCCAGTGGTTTGTGAATATACTTTTCAACCTGTATCTGGATCTGCTTGAATTTGAAATAAATGAACATAAACGTGAGATATCTTCGTATTATGATTGTGTCTTCATATGAATCACAGTTGTGTGAAAGCTGATCTCATTACTTGCTGGGAATAAATCTCTCCTTTCAAATATCTGTTTATTAAATAGGAGACGTTGCTGTATAATAATCTATGTTTGACCATACTCCTAGGTGCAATTAATTTACTTCATTATTTTGAAAACTGGGTATGTTGTGCAGGGACTTGCGGCATACCCACAAAATGTCAGCCATGCAGAGGTGCTGGCAGCAGCTACATCAGTTTTCTGCAGACAGAACCGAACTCTCTACCGCTGCATATTCCCCAACATCTCAGAACGGCAGGTGGATTCAGTACTATTGGCTGCATGGGATTCATCACATGAGACAGAAAAGAATATTTACATATCGGAGGTAAAGTATTTTACTATCAAGAAAGTGGCCTAACTTTCTTTGCCTCTGTTTTCTAAAGCACCCGAAAGGAAGGCTTGTCATGTCATGTTTAATATATAAATACGGGAAATAACCAATCCTTCACTCTTTGATCATGAGAGGTAGCAAGCAGAGCTGACGATACCCAACATCATGGACTATCATCCAACATGGCGGCTGATAGGTTGTGGTTGGATTCTCGCTCTGAACAATTTAGATACGATCAGACTTACTATGGTGCTTTTAAATGTGATAATTGTGCGTCGCTGAAAGACCAGTTAAGGAAAGTATCATTAGAATTGAGTTCGTCTCAATATATAATCAAACTATTATATAAAGAGTTAAACGAAGTGTCGGCAGCATTTGAACCAGTGGGTGATGCAGTCGTAGAGAGGGGCGTTTGTGAAGAGTTGAACCAGCCTGCTACTTGGACGAAAGTTTTATCTAAGTCATCTAAATATCCAGGAGTGGGGAATGTGACAGTTGATCCTAGACAGCTGCACACTTGGCAACCGATTTCAGTTTCGAATAGATTTTCATCGTTTTATCATCCGGATTTGGCGGCAGGTGAGGGGGAAGCGACCCCAATGTGTAGTAGGAGGATGGCCCAACCGTATAATAGTTCCTTTAAGAAGTGCAATGAGACAAGGGGAAAAAAGAGATCATCAATAAAAAATTACTCTGAGCAACAACTAACCTCTTCAAGCCATTATGTGAATGGAAATAGTTATGAGAATGACTGTAAAAATGATACACATATTAGTCGCATACCAACGCTTCTGAATGGCCAAGTATGTATTGAGAATAAGGATGAAAGCAACCAGGATGAGAGCGATAATAAGGGAGGTATACAACTGTTATTACGTGAAGCCACACGCAAGTTAATAGTTAAGAAAAACAGTTTTTCAAATAGTGGTGAGCATAAGGTTTTACTGATAGGGGACAGTCATATGCGTGGCTGTGCAGAGTACATGAAGACCTTTTTGAAACAGCAGTTCGAAGTGTGTGGTTATGTGAAACCTGGAGCCTCATCCAAGCTTGTATTGGAGTCAGCAAAAAGAGATACTGAAAAATTTACAATGGATGATTTTTTAATTTTGAGTAGCGGATCAAATGATGTTAATAGTAACGACCTCAGGAAGGTTTTTTGTGAGATTACTGACTTTGTAAAAAGTGTTAATCACACTAATGTGGTTTTAGTACATATTCCTTATAGGTATGATCTCAGGAGCTCTCAAATTAATAGTGAAATAGGAATTCACAATAGAAAGCTAGATAAGTTAGCAAAAAAATTTTCTCATGTTGGTGTAATTAAAGTGGATAATAGTAGACAACAGTATACTACACATGGACAGCACCTAAATGGATTGGGCAAAGAGTTACTGTCTAGCCACCTTCTTCTTCATATATATTCAACCTTGGGAAAAGAAAGTGATTCTGTAATAGTTCTCACATGGGGAGATAATTATTCCCAAGTTAAGTCTCTAGCTGCTAATCCTAACAAGCAGTGTATGAGGGCCAATGGTAGCATTCGAAAGGAGTTAATTAGTAATCCTTGCCTAGGCAAAGGTTGCATGGCCAATGGTGCAGTAAATAGTTATACAAAAGTGGATGAATCGAAGATACTGAAAATAAGAACATCCAATAGAACTAAGAAAGCCCCTGTTACAAAAAAAGATTTTTTATGATAAAGCCAACCTTGAAGGTAGTCAGTGAGTCCATGAAACTAAGCAAAGGAACTAAAGATTCGAAGGTTATGTCAACCAATGAATGGTCATCTTATGATAAGCTAGGGAAAGAGTCATCGGAAAAATCAGCCAAGGTGGCCCTTCAAATCTATCACCAAAATATACAAGGATTACGAAGTAAAATTGATGAGCTGTTAAACTTTTTACACCCTGAGTATCCCCATATACTGTGCCTATCTGAGCATCATTTTAATCAGCTTGAACTTGAGATAGTCCAATTAGGACATTATACCCTGGGAGCTAGTTATTGTAGACACTTAAAAAAAAACGGAGGTGTCTGTATTTATGCACACCGAGATTTGAATTTCTCCAATATTGATTTGAGCAACATCTCTATCGACCAACATCTTGAAGCCTGTGCAATTTTATTAACAAATTCCACTGATAGTGTCTATATTATATCAATTTACAGAGCTCCTAGTGGCAATTTTACTCTCTTTTTAAACAAATTGGAAACTATACTTAATTTGCTTTTTAGGAATAATATTAGAATGGTTCTCTGTGGTGATATTAATATTAATTATTTATCTGATAATGATAAAAAGAAGAAATTGGACTTGCTATTAGCTTCGTATAACTTAGTAAGTACAGTAAATTTTCCGACAAGATCCCAAAATGGCTCTGCAACTGCAATAGACAACATATTTATTGATGCGTCTCTACAGAGTAACTATGTAATATATCCCTTGCTTAATGGGCTTTCCGACCATGATGCTCAGTTAATTATTTTATCAGAGGTTAAAACGCATACTAAGAATGGCAGGGTAAAGGGGAAAAAAATGATAAGGAAAATTGAGCTGGCTATGATACAGGATTTTGAATATAAACTGAGTCTTGAAACCTGGGACTCAGTTTTTGGCTCCAACGATATAAACTTAATGTATAATTCTTTTCTCAGTTCATTTCTTAGAATATTCTATTCTAGTTTTCCCCTGAAAGTGTTGAGCACCAGAACAAATAGTAACTTGTGGATTACTCCTGGTATTAGTAATTCCTGTAAGCATAAAAGAGATCTATATTTGATATACAGGAGTAGTAACGATGAGGCCTTTAAGAGGTATTATAGACAGTATTGCAAGATATTAAAAAATGTCATAAGAGAAGCAAAAAAGAAGCATTATAGTAGACAGATATCAAAATCCAGTAACAAAATAAGAACAATCTGGAATATAACAAAGTCAGTAACTGGGAAGTTTGCCAAAGTGAATTCAGTTCAGGAATTAAAAGTTGATGGACGGATTACTAAAAATAGGCAATATATAGCAGATTTCTTAAATAGTTTTTTCATATCTGTGGCTGAGAATAACATAAACAAAAGTCTTGAAACAAACAATAAGCCATTAGATTACTTGTGGCAAGCTTTTGATCATCCCTTTCCCAGCATAAAATATCAAGCTGCAACCTCAACTGAGATATTTAAAATTATTAAGTCTTTAACAACAAAGAAATAGCATGGTTATGATGAAATATCAGTTGAAATGTTAAAAATTAGTAGCCCCTATATTATATCTCCTTTATTAGTAATAAAATGCTGTCTGCTGGCGTATTTCGGGATAGGCTAAAATATGCTGAAATTAAGCCTTGTTACAAGGGCGGTTGTGAGAATGATCCATCTAATTATAGGCCCATCTCCCTCTTAACCTCCTTCTCAAAAATATTTGAGAAGATAGTTTTGTCTAGATTAAATCAGCATATCCATGATCATAATATAATAGTCAATGAGCAATTTGGATTTAGACGTCAATCCTCAACTGCTAAAGCCTCTTACGTGTTACTCAATGAAATACTAGAAGCATTAAATAAACAAAAAGTTGTAGGTGGAGTTTT